TTTTAAGCTTTATGGAATTATAAAGATTAATTAGCATTACCTAACAACTTAGAACTTTGAATTTAATTCTTATTTCAAAGACTAATATAGGATGGTTGCAGAAAAACAGAAGCTACATGCATTAGCAAAAAGAACATTTAAAAATAAATATCCAAATGATCTTTCACACATACATATTTTTAAATGTAACTGGACCTTCATTCTGTGCTGGTTTCCTAATTTTTTTTCAGTTTTCATAAAATTTTGCAGTAGCTAATTAATATCTCATTTAATTTTATAATGTATTTAATGAATCTATTAGTGTTGGATTTGGGGGTTTTTAACTTTTCAAAATTAAAAATAGCTCTATTTTAAGTATCTTTCTTTAAAAAAAATCTTTGAGTATATTCTTAATTATTTCTCTGGGCAAGATTCCCAGAAGGAAAAAAAAAACAACTGGGCATACTTACTTTAAAACTTTGGAAAGGTGCTACCAAATGGCATACAGGTGAGAAAAACCACAATCGTATCAGTAAGTAGCAATACTAGATGACGAATGACGGATAAACAGTTTGAGCTATATTGAGTTCAAGGGAAAAGATCCGTATCAATGGATAGTTGTGTAGCTGTATGCTCTCAAGGGACGATGGTGAAGTGGAGCCGAGACAGCAGCTGGAAAGAGATGCCTTCCTCCCAATAGAGAGCATTGGTGGAAATGCTGATCCAGTGTGCAGACTGGGGTGTTATGTGCTCACCCCAACTTTTGTTGTTCTTGAATTTAACACAAATGCTGTTGGAGGAGATGCAATTTAAATTGTCTGAAAATAATTTAAATGTTGAAACCAGGAAAATCAAAACTACAGAAAAGTAAGCTCAGCTTCTAGGAGATTTTTGAGTTTGGGCTTCAGAGATTTTAGGAAATAAAGTTATATCTCATTTAAAATCAGTTTTTAATACGTCAAAGTTTCAAACTTCATGTTCCACTTTTCTCTTTCTTCTTCCATTATTGCCAGTAAATAATTGGATCAGGTGTTTGGTTTGGGTGCTGTGACATGCTTTTGTATTAATGTTTTTAGTAAAATCTGAGGCACTGAATTGCCCTCTTGTTGTGTATTCATATTACATTCTCAAATGATGATGTTTTACTCTGTACTTAGTTGTATGATCTGTTCTAAGTATACATTACTAATGAAGTCTCTGTGGTTTAGATTATTAAAAGATTAGTATCTCTGAATTTTTTTATTTCGATAGTAGGGGGTTTTTGGTGCTCCGAGCTAAGCCTTGCCTTTACGTTTTATGATGTGCTTTATCAAGTGGTGTATTATTAATATTGACTTATTGTAACATGACCCTCTCTCACACTTGACTCAAACATTTCAAGACTGGGGAAAGAAGTCAGCACTTTCTGTCCTTTATGGGTGCTGATAGGAGGATAAAATGTGGAACTCAAGCCCAGATATTCTGCCCCACCCTGAAGGCCAATACCTACCTGTCAGCTTTATCCCCCTCAGCTTATTGGGGTTCACTTGCTTTATGGAGTTCATATTTTGAATTTCTGTTTTGGAGTGAATTCCATTTTTATTTTTCAGCCTTGGTATCTTCAGGATGTTTTGCCATCTACTTGCTAAATGACACTGGTGTTGTGTTGGGCTGTGGTGTTGTGTGAGGGTTTGTTTAATTTTGTTTTCCCATTGTTACTGTGACCAAATACCCGACAAGAAGCAACTTAATGGGAAGAATGGTTTGCTTTAGCTTAGAGTTCTCAGGGCACAGTTATGGCTGGGAAGAAGTGGCAGCAGGACCATTGGAAGCTGGTCATACTCTCTGCGGCAGGAAGCAGGAGGGTGAACACTGGTGCCCTCATGGTTTCCGGTGTCTTCAGTTCATGACCCCAGCCTGTGGAATGTATAATTGGTATTTAGGGTGGATCCTCCCATCTCATTTAATCCAGTCAAGACACTCCCTCGCAAGTATGCCCAGGTGTCTGTCTTGTGGGTGATCCTAGATCTGTCAACTTGACAGTAAGTATTAACTATTACAACTGCTACACGCTGCCTGATAGAACTCTGGGCCACAAGCTGTCCAGGGTTTGTCAAGAATAATTTAAGAACCAAGAAATAACTTGAATATGGCCTGTATTCATCTGCTAACTGATGAGGAAGTCCCAGTTCCTCCTTAGATCCAATGAGCTTCCACCAAGTACCAAATGCTCAGAGGACAGAGGTCCTCTTCCTAATACAGCAGGGTGTGAAATAACTGAGGGCTTCTCGCACACCGTGGCTTTGGAAAGAGACCTTTTCTGCTGAGACCAGATCATTGCTTTTCTCATTACTATTTCTTAGGGCTTAAATTGTAGCAGATTATCCATAGAATTCCCACCCTATTAACAGATGATTTGTTATTCACATCACTACTTATTTGCTATAGAAAGTAATCATAAAATGCCTTCCAAAAATTGCAGTTGCTAATTGAACATAGGCAACATTCACATCTGATTTTCCTATGGGAAAAAACTGAAGCAGCCATTTCCTGCAGCGCTATGATGTGCAAGAGCACAGTAGACAAGGGAGATGCAATAGTGCGCCTACTAATTACGCTTTCTATGAACCTCTCTGAGGTGCACTCGACACACAAGCTGGACAAAACCAGCATTGTCTTCACCATGCTGAAGTGCTTATTCATGGCACTGTAACGTCTTCGGATTGGCACAGGATTGGCCACACTCCTGAACACATTAGGACTAAATATCTTTTTTAAAAGCCTTTTTTAACAAAAAAGAAAAAAAGAAAGATTTATCGTAATTCTTTGCTGGCTAAGTTCTTTTTGAAAAGTCTTTCATGTTCATTGCTCTGGGCATCCTTTCAAAGTTCAGCAGTTTGTGGCTTTGAATAGCCATGTCGTATCATCTAGCTTGCCTTTCCTCTATTGGTGAAGAAAATGGCTGAGTCAGAGCTTTTGGGCTTCTGGGAGGTAAATGGGGGAATTATCTATAGTTTTGCTTCCAGCTGGTTATAAATGGATATGCTGATTAGGCATTTTCACTTTTATATCAGGCTGCCTTCTAAACAGTAATGGAATCCATTCAAACTTGAACAATTCGTCTTTTTGAATACATCACATGGTTGGAATAGAATATAATATTTATGTAGCAGTTTTTGCTGGTTATTATATACAGCTACTGTGAGAATTTTTTGAATGGGTGTAATTTTTAGGCAGAAAGTTAATGTGTTAAGAACCACTGTATGTTTTTTATCTGCTTTCATTTAATTCTTAGAATAATTCTAAGTAAATAATAAAACCTCAGAGTTTATTTGATTGACTACTGTTTCTCCCCCCACTTCTGTTCTCCCTCTCTCCCTCCCTATTCTTCTTGCTTTTGTGGGTTCATGTAAATTTTAGGATTTTTTTTTCCTAGGTCCATGTAAATTTTAGAATTGTTTTCCCCTCTTCTATACAGTATGACATTGGCACTTTGCTGGAGATTATGTTGATTCTGGGAGTCATTCTATACATTTTTAACAATATTGATTTCTTCTGTCTATAAATGTAGAATGTATTTTTACTTTTTTGTTTCTTCTTTTAAAGTGTTTCATTAGCATCTCATTGTTGAGCTCCTTCACCTTAGATTTTATTCTTAGATGTTTTATGTTTTATAACTACTATAAATAGGATAGGCTTCTTGATTTATATTTCAGATAACTCACTGTTAGATATAGTAATGCTATTGATTGTCATGTTGATTTTACATTTTTTTATCTTTGCTGAGTTTACTGATTAGTTCCAATATTGTTAGTATTTGGGGATTTTTCTGTATAAAATATCTAGTATTGTGGTTACTTTCTCTAACACAGTCTTTCTTGGTAGTTAAGAGAATTGTTCTGTTACTATGTTTTTGATTTCCTGTTATTTGGCATTTTTCAGTTACAGACGTCTGCTTTGTGGTTACCATGAGGTTTTTTTAAATTGTCTTTTTACTATATTGAGCTGTTTTGAAGTGATTACTGACTTCCTTAGCTCTGTGCTGACCAGTTAGTATGTAAATAGTTGCTCAACTTGGAGAGTGTGTGGCAGGGAAGAGCGCCAGCCATTCTTACACAGCTGCCATCTTGTTTCATGCCCTCCAGTTGAGTCATCTTGAATATGATATCTCAAAGTGTTTTGATAATTTTTTTAAAAAATACATTTTTTTGATTTATGAGTGTGCAGTGGACACTTGTGGAAATCAGAAAACAATTTTCTTCTACTTGTGAGTTCCCAGGATTGAACTCAGGTAGCTATTTCATCTGCCCTGTCTTTTGTCCTTATTTAATTCACTTAGTGACTTTTCCCTTCTCAGAAGTTAGTTCTACTTTGATGGTTGGTGTGCAGGATGTGTGCAGAATTATCTAGTAGTACTTAGTTTCTTACGACTGTGTGCATTTTTAAAGAAAGGAAATTGATTTGCTGTTTTTTGACATTTTAACCTCTTTATTATAACATAACTTGCTAATATTAGATGTTAATGTTATAATTTGATATTTATTATTTATTATACTGTTATGATTAATTAATAATTAATATAAGGTACCTGATACCCTTATCTGTATCTATAGCTTATCTGTATCTATATGTATCTTCTTTATATCTATAGCCTGCTACCTCACGATTAACTTTAAACCGAGTTAATTTGATATGTTAAGACAAGGATGGACTATAGTCTGCCATACCTAAGGGGCTTCTCTGTATCTTCAAATTTTGGATAATGCATCCAGAGCTCCCTGTTATTATTGTATTGAATGTCATATAGTTTATGCAGTACCCTGCATTTGTCTGTTTTATGATAGGCCCTATAACTATGCACTAATGGGAAGGTGTATATATGTGACATAGGGGTCCTGGCCTTGTGGTTTCTTTTTGTCTCGTGTAATATTATTTCACCATCTATCTGCTCTACATTTGGGTTATTCTGTCCTATTTTAAGTGTTTGGCTTCATACTGAGTTAATTATTTATAAAATAAATCATTGGATTTGTTCCCACCAGTGACACCAAGAAGAAACAAGGAATGAGGAAAAGGAATAACACTGAAGTAGACGATGTACAACCAAGAAGCCGTCATGGAAAGAAGGCCAAGTGGGAAACGTTAGAGCCTTTGGATACAGGCCTGTCCTTAGCAGAGGATGAAGAGCTGGTGTTACACCTGCTCAGAAGTCAAAACTAAATATTCTCCGTGTCTTTGTGAACTTTGGACATTGTTATGTGGGCAAGAAGTTGAAAAGAGCTTTGGGGCATTCAGGTACCATGTGTCCCATTTTCAGAGGATACATTCTCTAGCAGAAATGATCACATCTCTGGGTTTCTTTCACAAACTGAGTTTTGAAACATCAAGGAACATACTCAAAATAAGGATGTATTGTACAATTTACCATTGTGCAATGTGTAGTCTGCTCTGTTAGATTTTGTCAGTATATTACCCACTAGTGGAAATGCTTATTTTGTTTTCACAGTGTGGAGCGTTAAACCAAGGCCTTCATGTGGTAGACAAGTGCTCTACTACTGAGCTTGTACCTGGTCCCTGTTTGTTTTACAGGTAGGTTCTGAATCCCTTGTTCATACCCATCTTTCATACAGTACAGAAATTTTAATATTATTGTTAAATAGCTAATAATTTTATGTATATTTCATTATTTCCAAAGAAATGGTATAATGGACCAGCCCTGACAAAGAATGAGTATTTTTTAAGTTCATAAAAAATAAATGTTTTTCTATATTGTAAAGTACTCTTGTTTTCATTGTGTCCAGTAATATGAAAGATATTCATAAAATTAAAACATGTGACAAACTCCTGAAGCAGATTTTGTATCGTTAACTTTGCCTGCTCAAATGTAACACATAGCACTTGTACTTGTAGGTTGCTGGCAATTACTTATAAATTCTCTAGACCGCTGAAGACATTCTTCACGTGCTCTGTTCAGAAGGCATCATGAGTCTTCACCTGGCTCCTGCTAGTGAGAAAATGAGACAGAGTCCCTGTTTTGTTACAAATACTGCCAGTCAAAAAAAAAAAAAAAGAAAGAAAGAAAACCTGGAAAAATCTGGGCATGAGCATGAAATGGTTGATTTTAATGTAGATTGTCATACTCAGGATTTTTTTTGTAACCCCATCTTTCTATCATATCGTAATTTTCAGTAATAGCTGCAAATTCAGTCCTGGCTCTTAAGGAAGATTGATTGCAGCACACCTTGCTTGTCTGTTCATCCTCATGGGCGACCATCTTCTCACAATCAAAATGACTGCCAGCCCCCCGCACTCTGCACTGTCTACTCCTGTTGACTTCTCTCTTTAATGACTGCTCCATTGCGTGTCCTCAGAGTCGGCCTTTCCCAGACCCCTGAGGTTCTTCCCTGGTCTCTCTGCTTCAACCATCACATTCTTCAGCATACCTTCCCTGGGAGTTACCTCTGTAGCCTACAGGTCTGAGCATGTTTTCCTGCTGTTAGTGGTGTCTGTCATGTGATACAACCATCCTTTATCTATAAACCTGTTGCCCTGTTATCTGACAGTTTCCTTGAGAACAGGATTGTATTTTATCTATCTTTTATACCTTTAAGGCCAAATATAGCACCTTTCCTATAATTCATAATTAGGGCTTTGATTTAATGACTACTCATAGTAAACCAAGAGTAATTTATTTACCCTTTAATATAATACTTTTTTAATTTTGAGAATTTTATGCACACATATATTTTAATCGTATTTACCCAGTATTCCTCCCTCCAGCTCCTCCCAGGCACCACTCCTGTTCATATCCCTCTCCCAACTTTATGTCCTCCTGTAAACGCATGGGTGTGGGGCCATCCATGGGTTACGGTCAGCCTACAAGGAAACACATCTGTGAAGAAAATGGGCTCTCCCTCGCTTAGCATCTGTGAGCTATAAGTGACTCTTAAGCTCGGATTGGGGGCTTGTGAACCCCTTCCTCACTGTCTTAGCCACATGTTGGAATGACATCTGCCAGAGTCCAGTCTCAATGAGGTTTACACATTCCAGGGTAGGGGCATGTGGATTAGAAAAATTAGGTAGGAACAAAGATATGAAAGAAATACAGAGACATAGGCTAGAACCGGGAAGGCTACCCAGTGAATATTGAATATGCCCGTGTTTATTTTCCTTCCATATGCCTATATACCCCAATCCAAAAGGGGGGAGGAAGAAGGCAAAAAAAAAACCCCAAAAACCTGCTTTATTATGACATAAAGAACAAACAGAGCAGTTATTTGCTTCAATACCTGAGATATCAAGCCATTATTTCCTGAGTTAAACATTTTGATGTTTTAGGCAGGATATACAGCAACCATACCTTAGACTAAGTATCCTGTAGGTAGCCACTCCCTGGATCAAACCTGTTTTATCCTTGAAGGAGCAGAAATAGGCTTGAATTCTCTGATCTTTGATCAAAGCGGAGCAGCTCCACCTCTGGGCCATTTTAATGTCCAAAACAACAAGTAACCACATCCTAGGTCAGAATATCTTGTTTGTAGCTGCTCCTTAAGTCAGACTTCTTGTTAATAACTTTGAAAGAGCGAGAGGAGATTTGAGGTCTCTGACCTTCAGTCAAGTCAAGGTGGAGCGAACCCATTTCTGTGGTCCCCCCACTCCTCACCATGATAGAATGTGGAGTGGGTCGATCATGTGCCAGTAGTCACAGCTGCTATGAATTTAAGAGTGAACCAGCCTTACCCTGTACAGAAGACATTGTTTTGGCCTGCTTCTCCCCAACCTCTTGCTTTTAAAAAACTGTTCACCCTAAACCAAGAGAACTGTTGAAGACATGATGTAATACAATGTTCTGTCACCTCTGTAGGAAAGAGATAGAGTTTATGTACATAAAAACTAGTTGTAATTACTTTAACAGAGAAGAAAAGGCAAATAGGAAAGGAGATCGAGGTTTAAGAACTCAAGAAGATTTTGAGATTAGAGTTTCTGACAGAGTCTCTTGTCCTTGAAGACTTTCAAAGGTCACCGAATACAGAAGTGCAGAAACTGAAGGCTTACCATTGATTTTATGCTGTGCCATTTTAGTTGGTTTTTTTTTTTTTTGAAGAGGAATTAAGCCTATTGGCTGCTTCTATGCAATCACTGAATAAAAATATAAGTATTTGGTCCGTAAACTACTTTGGATTGTGTTTGTCTGAAGAATTGAGTGGATCCTTACTAAGCAGTTCAGTGTGTTCTTTGCTAACTTTGAAAACTGTCTAAAAGTCAGGTAATAGTGCATGGTGTGCGTGGTAGGTGTTGAGTCTGTTGGCTCCTGTCAGACCTCCACCCCCTGGATGGCATTGACCAGAGACAAAGGTATTCCTTCCGTCTGGGTCCAAGGCACAAGAGATTCGGCACCTCTAGGCTTGCAGAATGAGAAACATGCTGAGTCCTGGTTTGGCACACAACCTGAGAAAAACATGTACCAAATGAGAATAGCTATTGCTTCAGTGTACTAATGAGTCCCACACTGCTACGCTGTCTGTAGCCATCTTGTGAGAGACAGTTTCCCTCTGCTGCCTCCATTTATTTAGTTGGGAGGAGGGACCAATTTTAATGCATAATTTTAATGTCTCATAGAAAGAGAAGATGGAAAAGGGATGGTGCACATTTGAGGGAGGATGCTATTGCAGGGTTTTAGGAGAGAAAGAGGACACAGTGTGTATTTTCTAGGACCCAGAAACTAATTCTTGCTGCTAAACCAAGGCTGAAAGGCCATTCATCAGACTCGCTAGTGTAAAATAATCCCTAAAATTACATAAGTCCCTGGAAGCAAAAACTGTTGGAGAGCTGCCATCTCGTAAGCTTACATGGCATTCCGGATTTGTTTGGGGCCATAAAAAATGGATAAGTTTAATTAAACGTAATTAATTTTGTTATACAACACTTGAACTACCCTGAACATGAAGTAGTCTCTGAGCCTTGATATCAGAGGCTGCCGTAGGATGCAGATGTGCCTGTGAGGTGGCGCTGTAAGGAAAGGAGTCTGCAACCAAGATTGGAAACCCTGCTTTGCATCACGTAAGGCTAGACATAATCATGGCCGGCGAGGTCTTCCACTGCCCCTGCTGATCACATTACCTTGTGCCTGCTGACTCAGCAATTGACAGCTCATCCTCCATTTGGTAGGTGAGAGACAATCACGCTGAAAGCTTTGCCCAAACAGACAAGGCAGACAAATGACATTCTTATTCTCAACTGAAATTTAGATACCAAGAAAGAAGTTTACAGGACAGGGAATGTAATGATGGACCCACCTCAAAAAAAAAAAAAAAATGAACTCAGATTGTGAGGATGCTGACAGGAAGATAAAGAATACTTGCCCAAGAGACTTACGGGTTCTTGGGAGCCGAGGCAATGTGGAGAAGAGTGAATTATGGTTAGGGATGACTGGGCAAGGCTTGCCGTGATGATTCATCTTGATCCAACTTGATTGGCTTGAGAAGCTCCTGCTTAAGTTACTGCCTACCTCTTAGTACAGCTGTGAAGATGTTCCCAAGGACAAAGAGATTATGAATCATTTGAACCCATTAGTAAAATTCAAAATTGTAATACTCTGTTGGGAAATGCATTTGCTCACAATAACAGCAAAGCTAATACACCTCCTGACTTGTTCCTGTACTTGACATTTTTTTATCCCAAACTGACTCTCTAGTATTTTGCTCATGAAGCTTGATAAGGAGCAAGTTTCTCCAGTGTTCTAAGATTAATTAGAAGGCTCTATGGATAGAATGGAAGTGAGACTTGGGGAAATGGCAAAATACCATTTCACATTCTTTTTTTTTATTATTGATTTTTATTGAGCCCTACAATTTTCTCTGCTCCCCTCCCTGCCACTCCCCTCCCCTTTAACCCTCTCCCAAGGTCCCCATGCTCCCAATTTGCTCAGGAGATCTTGCCTTTTTCTACTACCCATGTAGATTAGATCTATGTATGTCTATTGGCGAATCAATCCCACACCAGTTATGTTTTAAGGGGTTATTTATTTTGGGGGGGTAAAACTTACATACACCATAAACCGTCAGGAAGGGAGCCTAGTCGCAGGAGCCGGGAGCAGGAGCCAGGAGCAAGCACCGGAACCAAGAGCCGGAACCAAGAGGGCCTATTCCGGATATGCTTCTCTTTTTAAAAGAGAACTATACCACGCCCCAGTGGGCTGGTATTTCAGCAGCTATTGGCTGACGGAGCGGAAGTCGCTCCCCGCTGCACTGTGGGCTCGTATTTCAGCGACTATTGGTTGAGGCAGCGGAAGTTACTCCCACAACATATGTCTCTCTTAGGGTCCTCATTGTTGTCTAGGTTCTCTGGGATTGTGATTTGTAGGCTGGTTTTCTTTGCTTGTTTGAAAACCACCATTGAGTGAGTACCTGTAATAACTGTCTTTCTGGGTCTGGGTACCGAAAACCTTCACCTTGCTGACATCACTAACCCATCCAGAAGCCGTGTGACATCTCCATGCTGGCTGACTTCCTGCAGTTTTCCCCTCCTAACCCTTTCTTTCCTGCTATGGCCAGTGAAGATTCAGCACAAATAATATATACCTTCCTCTAATCTTGTAATAGAAAATGTTCTTTCTTTTTTTGGTCTAACAGATACTTTTACTTTTCCAAACAGTACTTGCCCTTGCTGTTGGGAGCCCTGGAAACTTGTCTTAGAACATCAGCAATGCTTCAATAAACCATTTTATTTCAGGAACCCCTCATTCTCAAGAGTAACATGCAAAACATTCATGGGTCC